ACTGCGGGAAACTCTGCAAAAAACGCATCTTCGCACGGGCAGCCCGTGCGTTGGCCATTTATTTTTACAGATTAACATGTGCATTTATGTTAGCAGTGTTTTCTTCTTACCAGCGTGTGGGGGAAAATACAGCGGTTTGAGTAGAATTGGAAGCGCACGGCTTTTCCAAAAGGGAAATGGGGGACGGTATGCTCACTTAACTGTGCGCCAAGCACGATTGTATTAAGTGTACCACTGCTCGATTATAAGTCTACTCGGGGAATAATCATGCCAGTTATTTTTAACGACGTAAAAGTTGCTACAGCCAAGGTATTTTTGTCATTTCTTAGCTTTCGCTTCTACCTAACATCACAATTTCAGTTTGACGATGCGCAGAATAACTAATAACACAGATTTTACTGGACGAAAATAAAAGGCAAAACCGGGTGCACTGCTTAAGAAGACAGATAAAATAACATCGATATAAAAGAAAAGAAAAACGATGGTTGCTCAAAGAAGAACAGAACAAAAATAGTGGTGTACTGTAACAACAGGCTTAGGGGAGAAGTCTAGAAAAGAACTGATTTCAACCAAGACAGCAAAAAAGTACTTTTAAGCAAGCCAATATTCGCCTTTGGCCGAAAGCAGAACTCTCATCTAGGAGAGGCACAGCAAAGCCTGTGGTCGAAACAGATGCAAATGGAAAGGTGGCGGAACTGCAAATCACATGTATACTGATAATCCACAGAAGATAAAAGAAACGGAAATAGAAAAAAAAATCCAGCTAAATTGCAACAATTGCTTAAATATCATTTTAAAATTGCGCGACCTCGCGCACAGATGCTCTGTAAACAGCCGTCTGATTGCGACAGCAAAAGGCAAATAAGTTTACATTTGCAACCGCAACAGTGCAGAAAAGAAGAAACATATGGATGGATTCTAATCTGTTGAAAAAATTGCTAAATAACAGAAGACTTCACACTGGGACTACAAAAAAACATACATCTGTTTAAGAAATGGCAGAAATCAATAATCCAGAGCAGTACTTTTCCGCTTCCGCAATCCTGAGATCTTTTTTTTTTTAATGCGTCCCAGTCTTCACGTGACAAAATACGTTATTCGAGAACTTATTGTAAAAGAAAGTAAAAATAAAAAGTAAAACTGCCTAAGCAGAAAACAAGTGAAGCAAACCCTGCATACAACATTGCGAGTTCAGTCTTCTAGGTTTGCTAGTGGGTAGCATTTTTTGGCTGCATATTGGTACCAATTAATTGTGACGTTTGCTTGGCGCATCACCGCCTCCGAAATGAAGAAGCATCTGTTCATTGTTGCCAGGTAAAATCGCATCGGTCAAGAGATGCGGCAGACTGCGTGGCTCGTTCGATGGCTGTGCAATTCCGTCACCCATCTGCGCGTCATTGGCGCGCTTCGCCGCCGATAAGCTAAGAAAATAAGGAAGTTCTTGTAGATCACTTTGTGAAATTTTGAAAAAAACCTGAATCTTAGGGGTGGACCATTGATACGCGCAAGGGGTATTTTGACATGATTCTGCTTCACTGCAGCCGGACCATACTCAACTGCCTTGGATGTGGCGGTACTCTGGGACACTGGGAGCAGGCCCTAGTCAGTGCATGTTCTGACTAATGACTGCAGCCGGACCATACTCAAGCGCCCTGTCTAAATCATCAAGACCGTCCGAACTATCGTTGTTGATACTCGACCGCACTGAAATAGACAAATGTCGCATGCAACTACGTTAGTCGCTTGTTCCAGGCTCTTTGTTCCATTTGTACTCATCGCCTCCAACATGTAAGTGTACCGTTTTACCGTACTGAAGCTTAAAATAGGCATCACTCCAATTAATTGAACTTTAATTTTTTCTTCTACTGAAATTTTTTCGTGGCAGGCATCTTTCAAATGCAGCCTTTCGTGACAGACTCAGCTTTATCATCCATTTCAAAATGTAACGCATCCCAAAACCTGGCGTTACAACACAAACTGGGTTGACAATAGTTTGTGACATCAATGCTTAGCCAAACAAGATTTAGAGCGAATTTGGTGTCTCTTACCGATAAAAAGGAAACGGGACAGAATGTTTTCTGGGCTTACGATAAATCGCCTAAGCATACATTCTTTCACGGTTTTGACGCTGCTAAGCTAGGGCATAAACTTCCCCCAATTTCCTCCGCTCAAGTTCTCGCATTTTTTATAACTGGTTGCACTGCACAAAACCAAAGTGAAGCATGCTTGGATGCATGCCTATTTTTAACCCGAAGGAATGCAAATCACAAAAGAGAAAAATCTAAAAGTGATAAATGATACGGCAATTCCCTTTGGTCCAGTCAAGCAAAATTTATTCGCTCGGTAGGCTGCTCATCCGCTTTCCTAAGATTTCGCCAAAAAAAAAGTCTTGCAAGATTAACTTGCTCTAACACACCCCTTCCCCGTTCACCCATCTCTCTTCCTCCCGTTTAGGAAGCTAATGTTTTTTCCCAAAGGTATGTTAACATCTGTGCCAAAGTTCCTTAACTTGTTTTAGTAGACGCAGAGCTGTGGCTGAAGTCTACAGAAAAATTGAACATTTATCACAAATACAGTAAGCACTGAGCCGGATTAATCAAGAGTGACACCTTGTTCATCGTTGTGAGGTAAAAAGCTCGTTGCATATCCCAGTATTATCGCTTAAACTTCCAATTTCAAAGTGAAAGGAGAAAAGCTTACTTAACTTTCATTTGATTGCGGAATGCTCCAGCCAGACCGTCCGAAGAAATGTCGGAAACTCTGTACGTCGACGCATTCGCGTTTGGATGGTTCCACATGACTGAGAGCATGTTCAAAGGGCGAGGACCACCACGTGGTGGTTGCTGTGGATACTGCATGCGTGCAATAGCTCTTAGATCGTTGACAATGCTGCATAAATGGTTTCTTGTAACATTCGAGAACGATGGAGCGTGAGTTAGTGACGAACCACAACAACTGATTTATTGCGAAGTATTCTCTTGGTAAAATTTGCTTATTTTTTAGCTGATCTCATTGAATTGTTTTTGAAAATGCGAATTTTTTATCGTAGACGAAAGTTGCTTCATTTACATTAAGCAAGAACGAACCCAAAGAATGGACGGCTCATTTCCCGTCCGTAAAGCTCAGCAGATTTAAAATCATCCAATCCAAACGATGAAAGCACCTGGCGCGTAGCTTCTTCGTTGAATACGCAACCGTATGCCGGATTTGGGCTGACTCTATAAATGCATGTGAAAGTTGTTATTTACGAAGGCGGTCACACCTATTGCTAGATCTACTGTGTAATTTTATTTAGTGTGTGCCCACATGATTGCTTTTACAGTACTGTTATTTGTAATTCAAATGCAGACGTGATTGACTGCAGAAGATGGGGCTTAGTACTTGTTTGAGTGTGCAAACGTAGTGCCCAGCTGTAGCTGTTAACAATCTATCTTAGCTCAAACAGTAATTCAGTTTATTCGGACCTAGTGATACCAAAATCCAATTTTTGAGAAGCATTTCTACAAAAACATTAGATTCAATAGATAACTGCATCAAAGATTTCAAGAGTGCATGTCAAATTTATTGACTGATGTATGAAATAGAACTGAGATGTGTAAAATGTGGATGTGCATAAAGCTCGATTGCACGACATACCTTCTGTAACAGATTCGAGTAGTCGAGAAGTGGATTAAAGCGAGAAATAGGATAGAGATGATCGCTCAGTTGTTTGAAAAGATTTTGAAAACAGAATTGCTTTGCAAACTCCACATTTGATAAAAACACACTTTTTTTTGTATAAATATATGCTAAGCAAGACGTTTGAAAATTAAACCAACCATTGCAAAAAGCAGATTTCTGCTACAACTAAAGAGTTCCAGGATGTTACATTTGCAAATCTCTTGGATTATAACTGATCTACCAAGAGCCATGAATAGAGCCCGCGATTTCCAAGCCACTTGGATTTCCAAGCCATTTGGATTTCCAAACCACTTGGATTTCCAAGCCACTTGGATGCACACTTGGATTTAAGTTCTTCATTCTTCAGTAATTTGCATTCTTTCAGCATGAAATAAATCAGACTCAAATAGCTGCTAGTTTACAAAATACTGAAATCAATAAAAAATAAAAATCTACTTTCGTAACTTAGCTACTCGAGCACTATCATCTGGGGTGTTAAAGAGTGCTGGTGACAGCTCTCAGCCGCCTACCACTCGTACGCAGCCACCACTTTCTGCTGCGCATACCACATCTCCGGGAATCGTCCGACGGTCGTTTTCCTTTCCACAAGTGTTATTTTCGCAAATTTTTAGGCCTAGAAACCTGCCTAGGAGACGTAATCTTTCTTGGTCAATGCGGAACAACCCCATCGCTACTACTGATCTGTACGAACGTCTGATTTTTGAAGAGATTTAAGCACCCTACGTTTCACTTTTCTATACGTAATGCTTATTATCCTACACCTACACTCTGACAGTTTTTTAGAGCTCTGATAAAGAAGGCTGTGTTTGACTTGTACTTTGCTGAATCTAAATGAAAACTGGAAGGCTGTTCCCAGCTAGAGTGAAGAAAGTGCTCTGGAATAGCTTATATTAAATTTACTAATTTTACTGCAGCTTTGGGAGGGCAATCCCAAAGTCAGTTACCGCAGGAATATTCCAAGCTTGCTGCTAACTCTTCCCTTCAAAAAGCAGCTATTACTTCAAATGTATTTGTCGGCTACAGGGTGAATACGTTTGCGAACATTCCCACATAACTGCAGTATTGCACCAAACTGTCTTTCCAAAAAAGTTGTCACGAAAATTTTCGAAAATAACTTTCTTGTTAAATCAAAATACAAATTAAAAACTACAGTAGCACACAGTGCCAGCGAATATGGATTTCTGGTGCGCTTTTTGCAAGTATAAAAGTGTTTTTGCATTGGTTACTTAAAAAGCTAAGAGCAAGCAGCAAAATGAGTCACAGTAAATAATAAATAGCAACGCGCACCAGACTAGCCGGTGCGATGACGCGTTTTGTGCAATTCAGCCCATCGAACGATTGCTTATCAATGATTTTCACTGCTTTGTACTTTAGTCTATGCAAAAATAGTTCAAACATTGGAAATCAGTTAAAAATTTCACATGAAAACTGAATTCGAAAATTTAAAGGGTAGGTATGTTTCCGTGATCCCCGAGTTAATAGTTTACCCGCCAAAATTTTCACGAGGCCGTAGGTGATACTCAA